TTGCCAGAGTAGAAAGGGGCTCATTTAAAGACAATAGTTCACTCTTGTGTAGATCCAACTCATAGCCTGATACCAACCCAAATGTGTCAAAGAGTTTGAGAATGTGGGGAATGGACCCCTCAGGCTTGGATACAAATAGCAGGAGATCATCGGCATAAAGAGATCATTTATGCTCAGTTCCATATCGTGAAATACCTTGAATAGCCTGATTACTTCTTATAGCTATTGCCAATGGTTCTATAGCTAAAATGAAAAGAAGGGGGCAGAGGGGACAGCCCTGAAGGGTTCCGTGATGCAAGCGGAACAGTTTAGATTAATGGTTGTTAGTGAGTACCATAGCTGAAGGATATGCATAGAGCAGTTTTACCCAAGACATAAAGGAACTCCCAAATCTAAATCTTTGCAAGGCCTCAAAGAGATAATCCCACTCCACCCTGTCGAAAGCCTTCTCCGCATCCATGGAGAGGAGGCATTCGGAAGCAGATTGACTGGGAGTGTACATTATAGTATTACAGTATTATAGTAAGTTAATTTAGACTGAGAGACCATCTAAAGACTCGGGAACTCTTTACAGATGTTTTGGATTCATTAGGTGATTGTAGTGACACGCCGATTCTGGAATACTGAACATTTTCACAATATTCTAATTGTGTGAGAATTTGAATGTGTGGTTTTCATAAGCTGTAAGCCATAATCATCACATTATAACAAATAAAGGCTTGAAACATCTGGCTTTGCATGGAATGAGTTTATCTCAGATATTAGTTTCACCTTCTAAATAGAATTAATGAAATAAACGAACTTTTGCACAATATTCAAACTTTTCCTGTTTCAGCTTTAGCAACTTCTAGAGTCCTAGAACGCCCTAGAACACAATTTCTAGTTTGTAGTTGTTAATTATGAACATTTACAAGCTGATAAATCTCAAAGTATGTGACTGGCATGGTCGAAACACCCATCATTACTTTTCATTTAAATTGCAGTACAACACGTGTGCGATCCAGGGCGTAAGGCAAAGTGAATTAGAAAATAAGTGTTTTTAGCCTCGTTGACTTGCATTCATTTTTTCGTTCTTCTGGGGACCCATGGTGCAGAAGTGACTTAAGCACCCTATTGCCTTTGCCAATTACTTTTGAACTTCAGGGAAAACAAGGGTGTGCTTTGAATTTAGACAGCCTTGTTGGTTTGCTGTGATGTAATATGTCTTAAAATATGTGTTTGGAAGGCTGCAGCCCCTGGATTTGGATTTGAATACCAAGCTAACCGCGAGTCACTGTGTTCAATGTGCTACCATGTGCTACTGTTTTAAAAACTAATCTGATGCATAAAATCTCACAGAAACTTCATCAAATAAGTTTCCATTACATGATTATTCTGGTCTATTTCTACGTTGCAGCAGGAATTGCACCAGGCTGCACCAGAAATGCTACACCTAGCTTCTGCGTATGCTATTTGAGCTGAAATGATAATAGCATTCTGCAGAGATAATGCATTTCAAGAGAGTGAGACAAATTACTTGAATAATCCAGAAATCCTTTTTTGATTTTTGTCTTATTTAGTGAGAGGTGACATTCCACGTGCCAAGAGCCAGCTTCTGTAGCCAAGGATCAGGTTCCCTCTTCAGGCTGTGCCTAGCCGAAATCCATGAGGAGTCAGTTGAAGTGGCTCGGGCATCTAGGATGCCTCCTGGACAACTTCCTGGTGAGGTTTTCCGGGCACACCTAACTGGGAGGAGACCTAAGGGAAGACCCAGGACATGCTGGAGGGACTATGTCTCACGCCTGGCCAGAGAACACCTTGGGATACCATGCTAGGAGCTGGCCCAAGTGGATGCGGAGAGGCAATTCTGGGCATCCCTGCTTAGGCTACTGCCCCCACGACCCAACTCCAGATAAATGGATGGAAGAAAATGGTATTATTTAGAGAATCATATAGCAGATGAAACAGAAATATACTTAATTTCTCAGAGCTGAGGCTTTTCAACGAGTCATATGCAACAGGTTAGATATTCTTTCTGCATGACCTCCCTTAAAAAGATCTGAGCCTTCTCGAGTTTTAAGATCCCATTAGTGCCTTTACACCTGGTTAACAATTGAAAGTAACAGATGTCAACAGCAAGTAAGATAAGTGCACTTAAGTGGAGACGGGTTTCCCCGTAAAGACAGAAATGGCACATTATGCCAGAATCCATTCTTCTTTTGATTTGAATGCTCAGTTTGCACCACACATTCCCTCACTCCTGACGCTTGTAGTGCAATGAAAAAGAGGAAGGATGTTCCCAAAGATAACATGTGAATTAAATTTCTTGGCGAAACAGTGGTGCTGGAAGACTTGGCCCTGCGAAACATAAATTGTGCAGCCGATTTACTGGTGTCAGAGTTTGTGATGATGCCGCGCGAAGACAGCCCTAATCGCTGCAGCTCTGGCAGCCTGACCCACCTCATCATCCTTGACATTTAGTGCAGTGTTGTCTCCCTCTCTCTCATCTCCTCTTCACGGTAAACAAATGTTTTAACCCTGATTTGTATCAGTGGGACTGGAGGACATGAAGTGACATCAAGTGTGGAAAACTTCTGAGAGAGAGAGAAAAGGGTGATAAAAAATAGATGGGGAAATGAGGAGAAACATTATAAATAGGGAGAGAAAGAGATGGAAGCAGAAAGGCTTTCTTGAAAAAAGTGGGAAAGGGTGAGGAGACCATCAAGGAGAGCAATCCAGCAAGACTGCCACCGCCTAACCGAGGGTATCTGAGACTAATCTCCAAGGAAAGCTGTCAGGTCTCTGCAGACAATGTTCTGATGGAAACGAGGCAATAAATGCTCCTTAAAGCCATCATAAATATGCAGCTTCCTGCCTAACAGCCACTGCTCAGACCTGGATCCGACCTCATTATCCTTCGTCTGCACTGGCAGTTTTGCATGCCAAGCTACATGCAGGATCACTAAGAAACGCCTCGACGCAGGCCTCCGAGGGATATGTAGCTCATCAAACCGGGGTACTTTTTTTAAAAAAACATATGGCGTGTTTTTTTAGAGAGAAAAAATCACTTCATTTGTGAGGTTTGGTTCGGTTTTCAATGCACTCCGAGAAACTGAAATTGTTCATTGAGCGGAAATCCAAACATTAAGTATGTATGATCTTGAATTTTTTTTTCCATTATGTATGGAACTATGTGTGGCTTAAAGGTGAATCGTATGAATAATCAAAAGGCACAGCTGGATCTCTAGTTATTTCATTTATGTCAGGAGCTGCCATTGTGCAGGATCATCACCAGTACACGGTTAAGGCACATTTGACCTGATTATCTAGAAAGACCAATGAAAAATCTTGGCTTAACCGAAGCGGAGAATGGTGAGAACAGTCAGAGTCAACCCACAGACCAGCCCCAAAGACCTACAACATCATCTGGCTGCAGATGGAGTCAGTGGCGGTTCTACATGGAATTACTCCCCGGGCGAGACCCTTGAGCCCCCCCCCCCCCCCCCCCCCCCCCCCCAGTATTTATAATATTATGAATTATTCCATAAAGATAAACAATCAATGATGAGCAAGAGTCTCCCTCTAGACCTGCTGAAAAGGGACACACAACAATACAACAGGAGCAAGCTATCACTGCGTCAACTTGATGAAGAAGCATATAATCAACATTTCTTTACTGAACAATCACACGATAATAAATCACAGTGCATTAAGTGCCAACCACAGCCTTAAGACATGTGTTGATAATGCCAAGTCCATATTTATGAGAGCACCATGTGAGCACCTATGTGTGTGGACACGCGCTTGTATATGTAAAGTCTCTCTATAGGAGCGTCCAATAGAGAGTGTGAAGGGCCACAGATCTGCCCCCCAAAGATGTGTAGAAGATGGAGGGAGCTCCAAGTCCCAGAGATCCAGGAGCTGCCCCAGAGCACAGGGACCCCAGAGAGACTGTGACCAGGAAAGCCCCTGCCCCCCCCTCGAGAGGTGCAGAGGATTGGCCCGGGGGGCCTCAACCAGCAGCCGGCAGAGTCCCGGGAGATATCAGCGGCAAGCCCACAGGCCCGCCCACAGCCTCTCACCCCCAGCCAGTCAGAGTCAACCCACAGACCAGCCCCAAAGACCTACAACTTCATCTGGCTGCAGATGGAGTCAATGTGCATCGTTCAACTACTGGACGCACTTTACACAAGTAGATGCTGCATGTGCCAGAGCTGGATCTTTCAACAAGACAACAACCCTAAACACTTCTCAAAATCTTCTACAGCATTCATGCAGAGGAACAAGTAGAATGTTCTGGAATGGCTATCTCTGTCCCCAGACCTGAATATTATTGAAAATCTGTGGTGTGAGTTAAGGAAAGCTGGCTATGCTCAGAAGTCATCAAACCTGTGTGAACTAGAGATGTGTTGTAAAGAAGAAGGTCCAAAGCACCTTCAACCAGAATCCAGATTCTCATTAGAAGCTATAGGAAGAGTTTAGAGGCTGTTATTTCTGCAAAAGGAGGATCTACTAAATCAGTGGTCCTCAATAGGTGGCTCGCGGGCCCACTCTTTGTGGCCCCCGAACCCCGCGTGCTGTCACATAGAGGGCTGGTGTAATGAACAGCCAGCAGCAAAGTGACAGCAGCAAAGCAACCCCACCCTCCCCCCCCACCGCGTCACACAGCTGAGCCGGAGGGGAAGGGCCAGGTGTTGTCCTTCTTTCTATTGAAAGCTTGTGTTTTTTATGTGCAGTACAGCCAGCAATGCAAACAGCAGCAACAGTCCCCCCCACACACACACACACACCCCACCCCCACCCCCACCACCACCACCACACACACACACACACACACTTCATTGAAATAAATCCCAGGGTGTACAAAAACACAACTAATTCTACCATGTCATTGTTCTTTTTTCTTTTTCTTTAACCGAAACAAACCCAACGTTGAAAAGTTCTGAAAGCATTATCGATTTGTTTCATTTTAAAATTGATTCTGGAATCCTTCGACTGATGCCACCATTGGTTACCATGAAAACAATGCTACACGTTTTTTTAAACTGTTCCAAGTCTGTGATTTATGAGAAGACCCTTTTAACCTTCAAGCGGGTACTTGAACCACATTATCACAGAAACGGTAAGAAAAATAATGCTTTTCAGAATTTATGACATGATTGTATCACCCTCTGAAGTGCCTTTTTGAAATTTTCACTTTTAAAAACTTTGAATATTAGCAGTTTCATTCTCAGAATGTCTATTGTTGATGCATGAAACATCTGCAGTAAAATCATATTAATAATACAGGTGATTTGGGCTGCCAGTGAGATCTTTAAATGAAAATCAGTAGATTTTAACTATTGTAAAGTACTGTGTGCATAGCTACCCATCATATCCCTCAGAAGTGGTTAAACATTATTTTAATTGCTATTTTCTATAGAATTTCATCTGATATGTTGTTTTCTTTTGAATATTCCAGAGGTGATTCCTGGATAGAGGAGTGGAGTGAAAAGTCACCAACAGGACAATGTCGTCACTTCAAGAGGTTGGTTGATTTAACTTGTGGATATACTACTGGAGATTCTTCCTGCCAACAGCCATCGTAATATACAACAAGTCTTTGATGACTTGATTATTATTATTATTCTGAGCTCCAACAGCAATCAATTTCCCTCTGGGATTAATAAAGTATTTTTGAATTTGAATTGAGATTATGTTCAATGATGCCCGATGCATTAACATTAACAAGAAATCTGGTTGATAGGAAAACATCTGAATCATTTGAAAAAAAATGTAGGCAATATTCAAATCTGTATATAATGGTCTACTTATAAATGGTGACTGTTATGAAATTATTAGGTAAATTTGTCATGATAGAACTTAGTTTATCTCCTTATGTTTTTTCAAATGTAAACACGAGATTCTGAGAACATTTCTGAACGTAACTGAAATAACGATTTTTTTTTCTTTTTCATTATTTCAAAGACCCAAACCTGCAAAGAAGAGGAGAAAGTTGAGGATGAATCAAATCTTAGACCGTTGGATCAAACTGCAAAAAAGGCAAAGAAGCTGCACTGCTGTGATCACCATGACAAGACCTTTGATTTACCCCCCAATTTAAAAAGTCACCAGAGGACCCACACAGGAAAAAAGCCATTTCCCTGTGACCAGTGTGGGAAAAGCTTTACTTGGTCAGGAAATCTGAAACGTCACCAGCGGATCCACACTGGAGAAAAGCCATTTCTATGTGAAGAGTGTGGGAAAAGATTTACTCAGTCAGGAACTTTGAAATATCATCAGCGGATCCACACAGGGAAAAAGCCATTTCCCTGTGACCAGTGTGGGAAAAGCTTTACTCGGTCAGGAAATCTGAAACTTCACCAGCGGATCCACACTGGAGAAAAGCCATTTGCCTGTGACCAGTGTGGGAAAAGATTTACTCAGTCAGGAAATCTGAAACTTCACCAGCGGATCCACACTGGAGAAAAGCCAGTTGCCTGTGACCAGTGTGGGAAAAGATTTACTCAGTCAGGAAATCTGAAACTTCACCAGCGGATCCACACTGGAGAAAAGCCATTTCTATGTGAACAGTGTGGGAAAAGATTTACTCAGTCAGGAACTTTGAAATATCATCAGCGGATCCACACAGGGAAAACGCCATTTGCCTGTGACCAGTGTGGGAAAAGATTTACTCAGTCAGGAAATCTGAAACTTCACCAGCGGATCCACACTGGAGAAAAGCCAGTTGCCTGTGACCAGTGTGGGAAAAGATTTACTCAGTCAGGAAATCTGAAACTTCACCAGCAGACCCACACCAGAGAAAAGCCATTTCTATGTGACCAGTGTGGGAAAAGATTTACTCGACCAGAACATCTGAAACTTCACCAGCGGACCCACACTGGGGAAAAGCCATTTCCCTGTGACCAGTGTGGCTAAAGATTTACTCAGTCAGGAAATCTGAAACTTCACCAGCGGATCCACACTGGAGAAAAGCCATTTCTATGTGGCCAGTGTGGGAAAAGATTCACTCAGTCAGGAACTTTGAAAAATCATCAGCGGATCCACACAAGACAGCAGCAGTAACTTGTCTGACCAGTACAAAGAGAGGTTTCGTGTCACCATCAGCAAATTTACATTGATGTCGCGAAGAAAAACGTCCTTTAATTGGGTCAAAGTTTCAAGCCACAAACAGTGTTTTAATAATATTAACCTGCATTCAACTCAGTGTGTGAAGTTTTCTTTTAAATGCAAATACACACACACACACACACACACACACACACACACACACACAACAATGATTATCTATGCTTAAACAAACATTATAAAATTAGTGCCATATAAAGGTTTTTGACCTTTGTTTCATAAAAAAAGCACTTGTGCACCCACTATGGGGAGCCCACAGTAGAGGCCATGGACAGCTCCTTCAGTGGCAGACTGAGACATTCAAGATGTAGAACAGAACGTTACCATAGGTCATTCATCCCCTCTGCATTAAGCGTGTATAAATCCTCAGTTTAACTGGTACTGGCAGTATCCTGTTACGCAATAACATCAATGTAATATTCATTATGTGTTCTATATTGTGCAATACCAGATGTCGGACAAGGGTAGAATGCCTTCTCTGGGTCAGGGATGAGGTCCTGCCTCAAGTGAAGGAGTTTAGGCATCTCTCTTGTTCGTGATTGAGGGAAAGCTGGAGCTCAAGATCGATAGGCGGATTGGTGCTGCGTCTGCAGTGATGCGGGTGTTTCCGGGTCTCTCGTGGTGAAGAGAGAGCTGAGCTGGGAGGCGAAGCTCTCGATTTACTGGTCGATCCTTTAGAAGACCCATGACATGCTGAAGGGACTATATTTCTCGGCTGGCCTGGGAACACCTTAAGATCCCCTCGGAAGAGCTGGCCCAAGTGGCTGGGGAGAGGGAACTCTCAACTTAAACTGTTGCTCCTGCAACCCAACTCCGGATAAGCAGAAGAAAAAGGCAGAGGTGGAAAGAGTACTAAAATGTCCTACTTAAGTACGAGTAACAATACTTTGATAAATTTTTACTTAAGTACAAGTAAAAGTACTTGCCTACATTTTTACTTAAGTAAAAGTAAAACGTATCGTTAATAAAATGAACTCAAAGTAAAAGTTACTTAGTTACATTTTTGTCAGCGTAAGGATGGCTACATCTAAGTAGTGCAAAATCACGACGCCAGTTCACAATTCGCTCGTGTATGTGCGCACAAACGCGTGCACACACACACACACACACACACACACACACACACACACAGTTTGATGGAGCGATTTCTATCCAGTCAGTGAGAACAGGGCGTGCACATTAATTTGACGAGGTTTTTCTACGATTGTAGGTTTCAATTGAGATTAAAATTATTCTTTATTTTGAGAAAAAATAATTATTTTTTAGATGCCATCAGCATGTGAGGTATCTCAATGTTTTCATGACAAAACTCTGACATGAGATTGTGCTCTAACTTGTCACATAACACAACAAGCTAAAGAAGATTCAAACATTTCAGATGGACCGTATGACAGCTGCTAACGTTGGCCCTGCCCTACTTTATCTCTACATTACAGTTCCTTTATTCATGTCCATCCTAGAGCTCCTCTCTGACCTTCATGCTTATTTAGAGCAGCTGATTTTTAAAGTAAGCAAAGTTCATCCTTGGTGGTGGGTTCACTCACTCATTTAAACCTTCACCACAGAAATCAGTGTGTTCACTCCAATCCTCCTAAATAATCCTCCAATCATCCAACTGGAATCCTTACGGGTCCCGTAACGTCCATCCTGTCAGAACAGGCCTTGGGAGCCCAGGTGTTACTAGAACTAATGGTGTCTCCTCACCAGCGTGAGTCTCCAAATATGAACTTTAAATTCATGCATTTATCTCCTACCTGTCAAGACGGTCTTCAACTCCCACCTCCGGCAGAGCTTTGACCACGTCCCGAGAGCAGTGGGGGACATTGAGTCCGAGTGGGCCTTGTTCCACTCTGCGATTGTCGAGGCGGCTGTTGCTAGCTGTGGTCGTAAGGTGGCCGGTGCCAGTCGTGGTGGCAACCCCCGTACCCGCTGGTGGACACCAGAGGTTCGGGGAGCCGTCAGGCTGAAGAAGTAGGCCTACAGGGCGTGGCTGGTCTGTGGGTCTCCGGAGGCAGCAGACAGGTACCGGATAGCCAAGCGGGGTGCAGCAGTGGCAGTTGCCGAGGCAAAATCTCGGGCGTGGGAGGAGTTTGGTGAGGCCATGGAGAAAGACTATCGATCGGCTCCAAAGAGGTTCTGGCAAACTGTCCGGCGCCTCAGGAGAGGAAGGCAGCAACTCGCTCACACTGTTTACAGTGGGGATGGGGAGCTGCTGACGTCAACTGAGGCTATAGTCGGACGGTGGAAGGAATACTTTGAGGAGCTCCTCAATCCCACCAATGCGCATTCCGAGGAGGAACCAGAGCTGGGAAGCCTGGGGATGGACTGTCCAATCTCGGGGGCAGAAGTTGCTGAGGTAGTCAAACAACTACACAGCGGCGGAGCCCCAGGGGCGGATGAGGTTCGTCCTGGGTATCTCAAGGCTATGGATGTTGTAGGGCTGTCATGGTTGACACGTCTCTACAACATTGCGTGGTCATCGGGGGCAGTTCCTAGGGAGTGGCAGACCGGGGTGGTGGTCCCCATCTTTAAGAAGGGTGACCTGAGGGTGTGTTCCAACTATAGGGGGATCACACTCCTCAGCCTCCCTGGAAAGGTCTACGCCAAGGTACTGGAGAGGAGGGTCCGATCGATAGTTGAATCTCAGATAGAGGAGGAGCAATGTGGTTTTCGTCCTGGCCGTGGAACTGTGGACCAGCTCTATACCCTTGCAAGGGTGATGGAGGGGGCATGGGAGTTTGCCCAACCAATCCACATGTGCTTTGTGGATTTGGAGAAGGCTTATGACCGTGTCCCCAGGGGCACCCTGTGGGGGACGCTCCAGGAGTATGGGGTGGGTGGCTTTCTGTTAAGGGCCATTCAGTCCCTTTACCAGAGGAGCGTGAGTTTGGTCCGCATAGCCGGTAGTAAGTCGGACCTGTTCCCAGTGAGGGTTGGACTCCGCCAGGGCTGCCCTTTGTCACCGGTTCTGTTCATCACTTTTATGGACAGAATTTCTAGACGCAGCCGTGGTGTGGAGTGTGTCGAGTTTGGTGGCAGGAGAATCTTGTCTCTGCTTTTTGCGGATGATGTGGTCCTCCTAGCTTCATCCAGCTCTGACCTTCAGCTCTTGCTGGGTAGGTTCGCGGCCGAATGTGAAGCGGCTGGGATGAGGATCAGCACCTCCAAATCTGAGACCATGGTTCTCGACCGGAAAAGGGTGGCTTGCCACCTCCGGGTCGGGGGAGAGGTCCTACCTCAAGTGAAGGAGTTTAAGTATCTCGGGGTCTTGTTCACGAGTGAGGGTAGGAGGGATCGGGAGATCGACAGGCGGATTGGTTCGGCATCTGCAGTGATGCGGACACTGAGCCGATCTGTCGTGGGGAAGAGGGAGCTGAGCCAGAAAGCCAGGCTCTCGATTTACCGGTCGATCTACGTCCCAATCCTCACCTATGGTCATGAGCTTTGGGTAATGACCGAAAGAACGAGATCGCGGATACAAGCGGCCGAAATGAGTTTCCTCCGTAGGGTGGCCGGGCTCAGCCTTAGAGATAGGGTGAGGAGCTCGGACATTCGGGAGGGACTCGGAGTAGAACCGCTGCTCCTCCGGATCGAAAGGAGCCAGTTGAGGTGGTTTGGGCATCTGGTCAGGATGCCTCCTGGACGCCTCCCCGGGGAGGTGTTTCGGGCATGTCCTGCCGGCAGAAGGCCCCCGGGTCGACCCAGGACACGTTGGAGAGGTTACATCTCCAATCTGGTCCGGGAACGCCTTGGGGTCCTGCCGGAGGAGCTGGTGGACAAGGCCGGGGAGAGGACGGCCTGGAGCTCCCTAATTGGTATGCTGCCCCCGCGACCCGGACCCGGATAAGCGGAGGAAGACGAAGACGAAGACGAAGACATTTATCTCCTCTTGTAGCACTTTAACATGTTTTAAAAGGCTTGTATCATGATAAGTTACACCTCCCAGAAATAAAATTGGTCCAATATAAGAAAAAATATCATCATAAACACTATTGAGACGTCGTTATTTCTGAAATATAAGTTCTTTTTGTTCACTATTACTTCAGCCAAGAAATAAGACGCATGGAGTTGATGAAACCACGTTGTCTCATGCAGTCCTATATGTGTAACACACACACACACACTCACACACACACACACACACACACACACACACACACACACACACACACACACACACACACACACTGCAGCATTTTAGAACCATTTGAATGACTAATTTAACTACATTGAACTGCTTTTGTAATAATTTAATCTCTTATTCTGGAGTAAAGTAAAGAATCTGTGGCATCAAGAAGCATCTTCTGAGTTAAGACCATCAGTTCAGACACAGGGATGGAGCACAACGTTTACAACTGAAACAGTATTAGGATGTTTTAACTCACAGAGGCCTGCTCTTCTGTTTTATGAGCAAAGCGCTGATAATGCACTTGTTATGAGCGCTAAACGTTATTTTGCCGCTTCCGTGCGGAGCAGTATGGGAAACACATTTCAAACACGGAACCAAGTAGAATTCTGATGACGTAACACCGGTGCGCGAAGGTGCAGGTTTCAACCCACAGGAGAGGAGAGAGGAGGTAAACAGCGAGTGGATCACAGGGACTGAGCTGATGTTTTTGAGCAAATCTGCAGTAAAAATGGCTGTTTGTCCTCATTATCAAAACTGTACACCCCCCACCCCACCCCCACCCCCTTCCGGTTTAGACGCAGCGCTCATGCAGGTGTCTCTTTCTGTTCCAACGCTGCTACACGTAACATTTTTAATTTATTAAGCCTACAATTTATTTTTACTCATTAACGGAAATTATTTAAAATGTAGGGAATGACAATTGTTTTTAAAAACATACATAAGTAAAAGTATAGATTTTAAAAACTACTTAAAAAGTCTGGTTGGGGTCTGGGGTGGTGGGTTGCTTTGCTCAGCGTTGGGCGGGGGAGCCTGCTCATCAGCACCCCAGCAGAAAGGGTCAAACTCTGGTAACCGGTGATGGTTGTACCCAATGTGCAGCAGTACCGGGACCAGAGTGAATAGGGTGTGTGTGGGGAGCATGAGTGGGTGTCCGGCGTGCATTTT